AGGTTATTTTGAATCACCCTGTATATATATATATATATATATATAAAGCAATTGAAACAGATAACAATAAATGATTGATTATACAAGTCTCTGACGATTTATTCGATATATGTACATACATGTTCCTGTGTTCTTATCTTTATCTCGTACCGAGACCTGCATAAGAGGCAGATTTTAACACAGATAGATTTCTCTTCAAGATTCCAACGACGCAAGATAGCACAATTAAAGCGATAAAAGCCATTTCCAATAAGATTCTTATCTCCCTGATTAAGTGAATTAGCGCGGAATACGTTAAAATCGCCCTTGTTGCATAGGCACAGTATCTGAAAAATCTTGGTTAAATAGTTTTATTTTTACATGTATTCCTCACAACAGATCATAATAATAAAAAACATTGAAAGTTAAAATATTAATTTTTTTAACAATTGATGAAAAATCAACTTGTCTCAATAACTTTTGTTTCTAAATGTGAGATCCGTAAGTAACAATAAATAATGTGTCGTGTGATCAGCTAGAAATTATGCTTAACGTACCAACAATAAAATTTGACGTGTCGGATTTTAAGCTGTGAAAATAAGCAAGAACATTTGACACGATTTTACATACGTGAAAAATATTGATATGCAAAAACGCGTCATACGGCTTTGAACATGAGTGTGTGAACACTTCGGAATGAACATACACACTGCTAATCTATATCTCACGCAATTCAGGTATATTTATAATAAATAGCCATTTCGTACTTATACAATTTGATTTCTCTCTGTAGTTCCCCACGATCGAACTCGTTCTACCAGATTGTAAGTTGTTGTCTACGGAATAAGATTTACGTGCAGATATCTCCCTATCCCAGCTTGGGGTACTCAAACACTGCTTGTACTAATTACTCTCTTTCTTCATTCGTCAGTCTTTAACGCTACGAATACTGCAGATATCTATCATATCGCGAATCTGTACTCGTACAACTTTGTTAGTCTCTTAAACCTATTTCGACTGACAGTGAACTTTATTTTTGTGGAGATTAAATTTCGAGATATGTCTTCGTGCTTCGGCATTAAATTGGACTGATATTAACGATGCGATGTAACATAGATGTAACATGATTAATATGATATTCTCTTAATATTCTTTTTGTCAGTAAAAAGTGCTAAAGCAGCTTGTATAAGAACAAAGACGCACGTATCGTCGCGTATGTGACAACTGAGCTTGTGTTGCGTACAAACGCTGAGAGAGTGTACTAGTTGAACTTGGTACATTTTGTAAATATTAATGATTGTAGAAAACTTATGCTACGAATTGAAGTTTAGTATAAAGAAAGATATCTGTGTAGAGAGAACAAGGACTTACAATCTAATAACTCGATGAAATGAGTTAAATAATACTGATCCTCCTCCTTCGTCCTTATAAATTAGAAAATTACTCGTAATTATTTAAATAGGGACAATGCGCGTCTTCGTGGCCCACGCACTCTATCACCGGATCGTGCGTACTGTCCCACATCCCCGGGCCACATTGTCTGCACAGCCCGGCCAGTGTACAAGGCAAGCGTACAAGTTGACGAAAATGATGCAGTAGGCCTCGTGCCTTTCTAAGTATAATGTTCCCGTCCATGTACATGGCCAGTGAACTAAAGTGCAGCAGCATTTCGTCCGTTCGGAGATCCTGGGCGATTACGTCGTCTGCATAGACGCACATTATAGCGAGACAGAGGAACAGATGGAAATGATCCGTTAAATAATTGACCCAGCAGGCTTCCCACATAACCAACGCTATGTCGGTGGGAAATTCTCTCTTCAAACACCTGCGATGAGGAGACAAATGCGATAAGAACGTGCAATATCTAACGCTACGTGAAATATGCACGCGATAATACTTAAATACACTTACAGAAGTATCCACCGATGACAAAATAAGAGCTCTAAGGCATCCGCGTGTTTTTGAAGATGCGCGTAAAAATCTGGTACCATTATCCTTACTAATTCCCGAAGATAGCACAGATTTCTGTCCATGTCCGTATCGGTCGGCGTGCACACAGCTACTGACCTTTGCATCAGGCCCGCGAAACACCAGAAGGCATCAATTTCAGAGTTTAATTCGGCCAGTAATGGAGCCAGAAGATCGGACATTCCTTGAGTGTAGCCCAAGCGGCAATTGTAAACCGCGTAGTTAAGTAAAATATTCCTACAAGGACAGCGAAATAATAATGGGTAATATAAAAAGAAACAAAGTCAATATTTTGCTTCTAGTTCCTCATTGCAGTCATATTGAAATAATTTGGCGTGAATTTTTTTTCTCACATAACTGCAAATTGCAATAATTTGTAATATATGGCTGCAATGTGGAAGCAAGAACCTTAGGCATGTTGAAATAACTTACTTCATTATTTCGATGTTAGCATTACCCTCTCCGGCATAATATGGATTAGCTCTGTCCGTGCGAACGACATCCTTCTCCACTATGCACACTACATTCCGCCAGAAACGCTCAGCCTGCTCTGGATTCATGCTCAACCGACGTTTTTGTATCTCCTCGTATTCTTGCCGCCTAATGGCGTCGATCTGCTCCCTGTCTTCATACGTGCTTTGATACGAGTAGCAATGCAATAAAAAAGGCCATACAATTTTTCGCAACGCCGGTTCCAAGCCGCCGAAAAATACCCCCTTGCGAAGCGCGAGATCGTCCTCCATCTGGCCCCGTTCGTTCAACAAATCTTTCCAAGCTAGTGACGTGATCATCGGCACTTGGCCCTCTTCGGGGTGCAGCTCGTCCCGACTTACCTCCGGTCTGCACACCATAAAGTGTCTGCACAACAGCGGAGTGTTCGTGAAAATATAATGACTGAAATATTACATTAACGTGAAGTCGGTAGAAGTCCTGCTGACCTGTACGGCAAAGTTTCCTCTGTGTCGGTGCTCAAGCGCGGATAAAGCAGTTGATGCCATTGGTGCAATGTAGTGGCCAACCGATCTAAGCCACCGTGATGGAAATGCAGGATCTTGTACTGGCTCTCTCTGCTCGCCACCACCAACTGGCCGCAGGTGCAAGCAGGATCGGCGAAGAACAGCCTCAGCGACCGCATCTCGCTGAGATCCACCGAGAATCTTCGGCATCGATGCGCTCTGCGCAGCGTCACCGGAGATGCGGTCGCGCTCTCGGGAAAAGCGAGATTATGCTGCAGAGCTAGGAGTTCCGGAGATCTCATCCATGACGGCATCTCTTCGGCTAGAAATATAACATTATTGAGTCGTTAATCGTGCACGAAAGTATGAGCTCGTCAATGACTTGCGGTTACATTCAAATATTGGATTAAACTAAAAATTTGTCCGGATTTTAATGAAAATTAAGAAGAATCTTGCATTATGAGCTGTATATTATCAAATTATCCAACGATCAATTTGAATAAATGAGAACAGCAAATACGTCAAAGTAATTATTTATTAATAGTTATTAAAAGTAAAAAGCAACGTTTTCTAACTTGCGTCAATTTGTTAACTTTTACTTTTGACCTGAAAATGTAAGATATTAACGACGCCTAGTGTACGCACCGTCAGTGGACATCGAAATCGACAGACTACACGTCGAAGTTAACGACAGGCTGCGACTTTTCACGCTCACGTCATCACGAAACGGTAAACGCGGCTCCTCGTCGACGCTCTTCGCGTCGTTCTCGTTGGCGCTCCGCTCTTTCAGATCCCCGTTCTTCTCGTTTCTCGTTACCGTCGTCGAATCTGAATCCGGCCGATTCTCAGCCTCGATACTTTCGCCGTCGCCGGCCGTGCTCGGGTCTCGACGACGCAGGAAGTCGTAGCCGTAACTGGAACCGGAACAGACGCGTTCGCAGTCGCCGCAGTTGACGGGTTCCTTCGCCTCCAGGCACACGTCCAGCTTTCCGTTCCCGTTGTCGTTTTCGTTCTCGTTCTCGGGCTCGTGTCGCGTATTTAGAACGTTGAGCGCGTCGCCGCGAGTCGTCTTCTCGCCGATTTGCAAACGCGGGGAGGTTGAGTCGTCGTCGTCCCTGTGCATCGCGGCATTCCGGACGCTCAAGTTCTCCAGCGTGGTCGGGTGTTTGCGCAGTGTGGTGTTTGGTATCCAGCTCAGATGCAGGGTCGGCAAGTTCGAGTTCTTGTTCAGCTTGCAAGTTATGGTCATGTAGCCGGGATGGTGCACCACGTCGGCGTGCTGCCTCATCAACGTCGGTGGATGCACGCAGACGTTGTTCTTGCAGAACAACGCCTCGCCGTCTTGATAAATGACACGTCGGTTATCCTGGCCGCAGTCACCGAGGATGTAACTGCTCGCCTTCCTCAGAATATTCGGCAGCGGCATTGTCGAGATTGCGTTTGTTTTCTTCTAGCGAAACATGACGTGCGATATATTCGACGGAGAGAACCTACGCTGTTCCCCTAAGATTTTAAAAATTTAAACGTTTGTCAACACGGAAATCCATTTTGACAGTTCGCGAGACGCGCTGCGATTTCCCCGCCTCTCCGAGTGTCCCAGTCTCGATCCGGGTTGTCCTCGTGCACGAAGTGCTGACGAAATCGCGATCCGCGTCGACGTTGCGAGCCAGCGGAGAATGTAGGACAGAGGGCAAGCATAATCGGGGCGCGAGCACTGAATTTAGGATGAATTCGCGCCGACAAAACTTACGACGGCGAACTAATCTGTCCTTTCGCGTAGCGGCACGATTGCAGATACGCGCGCTTAAACGCAGCGTTATCGCGCCAATTAGCCTCGATGCATAGAGTTGTGTGTTGATAACGTGTATCCGCGTCGTTGTGATATACACCCCGCTATTTATCAGGTTTCAAATTCCGCGATAGTTTTCAAGCCGTCCCACATCGGCCGACTCTTTGTCATTCTTCACTCTGAAGCGAAAGAATCGTGACGATCTCTCCATCGTGCTAATCGGCCAGAAACTTCTCCGTCTCGCAACACCCTCGCTCCGCGCGAAACAGGATTGACATCATCGGCACGGCGATTAATCAACGTCCTTGTTTCTGAATCGCTGATGCTCACGCGTCACTGCTCGGTGCGCGGGCGCCGCCGTCGTCGTCGCAACCACTGCCGCGCAAGTACGTCGATTTCGTGAAAATCCCCTAAAATCTACACGCGCGTACGCGCAACACCCTCGCACGCATCTATTTCGATCTGATCCTTTAAGGGCGCGTTACGCACGCTCGATTGCGCTGCAATAAAAACACGTAATTCATTATCGACGCGCGTAAGAACTTTTTTTCTTATCCTAGATCAATATTTCCATCTGATCGCTACCTACCCATCTGTCCTACTACCCGAGCCGCTGACATCTCGCCACTTGTCATGCTCCGCAGGTCGTTTTTATCGATTATTCACCGCGTTCTCTTCCGAACTTCTTAATACGGCTACGTAATCATGATCTTGTGTTTTTTTTTTTCCCTTTCGATCAATCATTTAATTTCTCTCGTATGCGTGCATTTCTCCTTCACTCCAAACTGACCTCCAAATTGACCTACAAGATAAACCGATTGCGAAATTATATGACGAGTCACGGTGACTTCGCGATTAATTCTGAAAGTTTATGCAACGGAACCAATGTTTTATGCGCGAGATAATCACGCAAGTTTTATCTAATTAATTATTCGAATGCGACAACAGTAATAATAAATTACAAATAATGAATTTTTTGCAATAAAATATAGTTTTTCGTGTCGGCATTTACAAGAGTATTTGTAGTATAAATATAGTTGAGCAGTATTGTTTCTAATTATTACGCTATCAATCGCATTAAGTTTAGTGCAGTTCGTAGTTAAAGAGTATCTTATGATCGTTGCTGAGAGCTAGTCCCGACTTAGGTCCACGTTTGAGGTACGATATCGTAGAATACGAGGAGAAGTGAAAATCCTCTTGTAAGTAACCGTTCACCAGCAAGTGTCCTATAATAGCTTCGGCAGTTTCTCTCGTGAACTTTGGCACGGGCACGTCAGACACTCGGAGCGATGACGCACCTTTAGCGTACCAAGCGTCGACGAGCTTCAAAGCGGTCAATCGTGTATCATTTTGCACAGCCTTAGTCATAATCTGATACAGCTGTCTACAATACTGCGTTACGTCAACTTCCTTCTTGACTTCCGGCTTCCTGCAATGATCGCACATTTGAACGCAATCGCTTTCGTTCCAGCTCTCTTCGAAATGAGTCGCTATCAAGCTTCGTCTGCAGGACGTTTGATTCAGGCAGTACGATAACACTTTGTACAGGTTCTGCAGTCCGACTCTGTCCTGAAACACCATCGTGCTCAGTTTGAATACATCCGCTAATCTGTAGAGCACGAGACAGACCGCCTTCCTGCCGTCTCTACCCGCGCGACCGCTTTCTTGATAAAAGTTCTCCATCGACTTCGAGACGCAATGATGAATCACGAATCGCACATCCGGTTTGTCGATCCCCAATCCGAAGGCGATGGTCGCGACCACCGCTTGATACTTGCCCGATATCCATTTCGAGTAAACCTCCGATCTGTATTCCGGTTCGAGCATCGCGTGGTAGCATCCAATTTTGACGCCTTTTTCCCTTAAATTCGTGGTCAATTGTTCGGCATCTTTGATCGTGGTTGTGTAAATAATACCTGATTTTCCGCTAAATCGATTCTTCAACAGACCTTCTATCATTTCGAGGCAGAGCTTCTTATCCGCCGGTTTGCGACGAACCTCGTAATATAGATTCGGTCTGTTGAACGAAGCTCGTAGGACCAGGCAACCACTGATGTCCAGCATCTTTTGTACATCTACGATGATTTTAGCGGGAGCCGTGGCAGTGAGACCCAGAATCGGTACGCCTGGGAATAAGGATTTCAGCGTGGTCAAAAACTGATAATCCGGCCTGAAATCGTGACCCCATTGACTGCAACAATGGACTTCGTCTATGGCAAAACGTTCCAGATTCCCTAATTCAAATGCTTTTTGCACTTTGCTCATAAAACGTTTAGATTTCGCCATGTACTCGGGCGTTACGTAAATCAATTTAAGATTGGAGTTTTTATTTATGAGAGCGTCCATGGTCATCTTGACGATTTCTTTATCAGTCTTTGCGCATAACATGGTAGCTTTTACATTAAGCCTGTTTAATCCATGCAATTGATCTTCCATTAATGATACCAACGGCGAAACCACTATCGTTATACCCTTGCTGATTACAGCCGGCAACTGATAACACAAACTTTTACCACCACCTGTAGGCATGATTAAGATAACATCTTCCTTGGACATAATAGCGTTCATAGTTGGTAATTGTAATTCTCGCAAGTTTTCTATCTTAAAAACATCCTTTAAAGTTTTTTGGAGTCTTGCGGACCAATCAAAATTTGCATTATTCCAGTCTTTCTTGGACAGCGAGAAACTCTTTTTTAAAAGGATATCGTCGCGCAGTTTTTCTTTGCGTTCGGTTAATATCTTTTTGCGATCTCGAAGTTTCTGCATTTCACTCTCTATTTGTTGCAGCTCATAATTGATAGCTGCTATCTCATCGTCCTCTGTGACTAAAATTTTGAGAAAAAAATGTGAGAAAGTAATGTGCAACGTTTAATATAATCTCATTCACAAATAATTGTAGCAAGTAATTTTATTACACATTAAAATATTAGAATTCAATATTAAAATTGTTTACAGTAAGTCTTTAGTAAAATCTGATATAAAAAATAATTATTTATATCCTTGCATATTTATTAAACAGAAAATTATTTGTCTCTATTGAGTTTTAATGATCAGTTTGTAATTCCATCAACTGATGATTGATTAAAGCAAAATAAAAATTTTACAAAGTCTGATGTAATTATACTCAACTAACCTTGACACTCGTCGTCGTCTATCATAATCACATCTTTCACGTCATTAACAGACATTTTAATCAATTATTTAAGTTCTTTTATTAAACTTTAAAACATTTGAATATCTTTCAAAGATACAATTAATCAACTTAACTACAAGAATGCTTATTTATAAAACTATAACCTAACTGCACAATTGTATACGCATTGAGCAGCTGTGTTCCATGCCGGCATATCTATGCTAACCAGTGATGCAAACTCGAGCCGGCCAGCACCCGAGCACCGCGGTAGAGGAAGCACGCACACAAACGAGAATCGTGACGTCACACGTACGTGTGCGCTTCGTCGTTCAGTTTGTAGAAGCGAGTGGACATACGTGTTCCGTCTCCTTTTTATCAAAGCGACGTTGCGCGCTTGTTGCGTATGACAACGTGAAATGCTTTTTCAAGATTTATGTGATCTTGTAAAAAGTAAATAATATTGATATTAATAAAATATCAGAACATTAAATGTTTATGAATTATTAATATGCGTTAATTGCGATAGTTAATACTTTAGAGTTTAATATTATGTTATACAGGGTGTCTCATAACTACCGCTTAATACTTTAATAGTATCTTTTGGAGATAAAATAGAGTAAAGAATCTTAATACAAAAATATCAAGGCTACAATAGTTTTTAAGTTATAAACGATCAAAGATGCTAATGATGTCGCGTAGGACGCTCGCCTGGCACGCTCAGGTCCGCAATTACACGTACACGCGTACCGATCTGTCAACTGCTATTGATTTTTACAAGTCAGGTGATATTGATTTTTACTGCACAGCTGATTTTTCACGGACGTGAAATGCATGTGGATTTTCGTTCTCCAAATGTGAGAGTTGTGGCTGTTAACTACTCCTTCACGAGTAAAACGTGACTCGTCTGTAAATAAAATTTTATGGACAAAACCAGAATCTTTATTTTCATTTTCCAATAATCATGTTGAAAATGATGGGAGATTATACATGAACATTACGATATACTTATTGTATTTTCTGTATCAGATTAAAACGCTTACAATAAATACAATGTAACGCATCTTTATCGAAAACATTTTCATCTAGAAGAATCTAATTTTATACATTGTTATTAGAGAATTAAAATAGAGATTCTGATTTGGTCATTAAAATTTATTTACGGACGAGTCATGTTTTACTGGTGAAGGAGTATTTAACAGTCACAACTCCCATATTTCGAGTGACGAAAATCCACATGCATTTTGCGTCCGTGGAAAATCAGCTGTGCAGTAAAAATCAATATTACCTGACTTGTAAAAATCAATAACAGTTGACAGATCGGTACGCGTGTAGTTACGGACCTAAACGCGCCGGTTCTACACGATATCATTGACAATCTTTGATCGATTACAAGCCTAATTTAAATCTCAAATAGTTTTATTATTAATTATTGAGTGGTCTTCCGCGCCACCCATGAGGTGCCACTTATAGCGCGTTAGGTTTTTCAACGTGGACCTTCGCCGGTAGCCCTATTATACCACATTGTATTTTAAATAGTAATTATATTATATTATATACTATTATATACTAACACTAATACTTTTTTTGTAGTATACTATTTAACTATGCTATACTATATTACTACGCTGTACTTTCAGGCATTATATAATAAAAAAAACCAATTTTTTCATTTTTTATTTTATTTATTGAATATTACTTAATAAAAATATTTTTTATTATTGTGAGGCCGCCACGGCCCCCTCTACCGCCAGGGCCTCCTCCTGCCGCCACGGCCTCCTCTGCTGCTACGGGCGCATCGTCCTCCGGTACCGCCACGTTCTCCTCTACCGCTGGCAAAGCCTCCTCGCTGGCGGTACCAGCGGGCCCTAGAGCGGCCGGCTCCTCTTCTTTTTCTTTCTAAAAAATTAATAATAGTATTTACAATTAGATTTACGATTGTATACTCGTATATTAATTAATAATTGTATTGTATGAAGTAAATAACTTACTAGCTTTGTTTTTTGGTTGCTGCTGTTGCGGCTGTTCCTGTTGCTGCTGTTGCGGCTGTTCCTGTTGCTGCTGTTGCGGCTGCTCCTGTTGCGGCTGAGCCAGCAGCTGCTGCTGCGGCTGTTCCTGCTGCTGCTGCAGCTGCTGCAGCTGATACAGCTGTTGCTGTGTTTCCAGCTGTCGTTGTTGTTGTGCTTGTTGCTGATGCAGTATTTGCTGCAGCAGCTGATGCAAGGATGCACCTTCTTCTTGCGTAGTATGTTCTGTTAAAATAAAAAAGAAATATATATTTTATCAATTAGTAACATAAACATACAAAATAAATTATGACGTAGTTTTTTTAAAACATTTTTACGTCCGTTTTATAACAAAAATGAATAATAATAATTTTATTTATTACTTACGAGACAAATTGCCTTCCATTGCAAACGTTTTGCACTTTTGTCAGCAGGAAACGGGTGCGGCTGACATGTAACAATAGTAAACCGCTGCGCGGGGCCGCGTCTGTTGTTCTATTTTTTGTTAAGAAGCACGGTTTATTTTTACTTCTATACTCTATATGTCGTTAATTTTTTGTCGTTCATTAGCCTGTGTAGTACTCTTGTTGGCTTATAATTGCGAGTAAACGTATTTCTTACACGTTTTATTAAATCGCAACGTTGATGAGAAAACTGAGACAGTCTCGACTGTAAGTTTTTCAATATATTTCCATATATTTCCTTGTTTTTTCTTCTTTTAATTTTCGTCTAATTTAATTCTTCGTCTTTGTTTCTTTTTTCTTCTATATTAAAATGTGCGATTCTGTACAAAAAAAATCTAAGCGAAGCTTTTTTGAAGGCTGGCTTAGCAATGATCGGTATAAATCTTGGATACGAAAAGTACCGTTAAATGACAGTTTTTTTCATTGCACTATTTGTAATAAAGATTTTTCTTGTAACACGCGCATTTCTAGACATGCGGATTCTATGTGTCACAAAAATAATATTAAAAAACACATCT